GGACTCCCATGAAGGCCCTAAATGGGAGGCAGGACCTAGCCTGGCAGCTGCCTTCTTCCAGCCACTACACTGAGTACCCACCCACTGGCGGGAGGAGGCAGGGGGCACTGTGCAGCCTTGGGCAGTGGGAGCAGGTGGGTCTGGGGGACAGGCCTGTAGAGGGTCTTTTGCTTCCAGTCATGTTCTGTGGAATCGGTGGCTTCTTGGATTTCTACAAGCTCCGGTGGCTGGAGGCCATTCTCAACTGGCAGAAGCCGCAGGAAGGATGCTTCGGGAGGCCTGGTGAGCTGCACTTCCACCCTGGCTGGGAGCGGGACGCTGGTAGGGGGCTGGGTTTCTAGGCCGAGTGAAGAAAGGTGATACAGTGGTCTTAGTGGCTCAGAGAGAGATTCGCAACATGTATATGCATGCAAACACGCATGTGAACACACACATATGGAAATGGGCTTGGACCTTTGGACGCCAAAATTTTGCAGGGTGGGAGACAGTCTCGTTGGAAGATGTTGGCCCCCTGCACCTGCATGAACAAATCTATTGCTTTAGTGAGTATCCCCTGAGCACCTGCTCTGTACCAGACACTGTTCTAGGCTCCAGGGAATACTAGGGCCCTGAAGAAGAGAGGCAGAAACCATCTAAATTAACCAATAAGTGAGATAATTGCAAGTTCTGATAAGGGCTGTGAAGGAGACAACAGGCTGAGAAAGAAAAGAATATGGAAGAAGGTTCTTTGGGCAGGAGTATTCAGGGGAGACGTCTGGAGCAGGTGACATAGAAGCAGAGGCAGACAGGACACAGCCCCTTTCCAGTTGTGTGACAATGGGCAGCTGGTCCTCTTTGCAGTAAGTCACTTCACCTCGCTAAGCCTTGATTTCCTCATCTGTAAATAAATTAGTATAATAATCTCCTTCCTGAGCTGTGAAGAGTAGACATAATATATGGGAAAGCACCTGTCCTGTGCATGGTACAGAGGCGGCTCCCAATAAATGCTGAAGCTTGGGATGCTCAAGGAGGCAAAGCTTTTGAAATAAGGGTGTCTGTTCTCAAAATTGAGGAGTCGATAAAAATGCAGATTCTCAGGCCCCCAGACCTACAGATTCAGCAGGTAGAAGGTGGGCCTGTGGAACTTGCATTTTTAAGAAGCTCCTCCTGCTGTTCCGATGTGGGTGGTTGGGGGACTACAACTGGAGAAACATCAGTAGATGACAAATTTAGGCAGTGTGTAAGGATCTGCAGACAGGCACTCAAGGAACCTTCTGGAAGGACCTCCAGATTCAAGAGAAGACCTGAGTTGCTTGAGGTGTTGTGAGGGGGAGGAGGTTTGGTGAGTAATGTGTGAAAACCCATCTCAAGAAGGTCACTTTCCTACTCTTCTCCCAGCTGCTGAAGATGAATTATCAAAAGCCATTCAACGCCAACAGCATGTTTTGAGGAGAGTGAAGAGGCGAGAAAAACAATTTACAGGTAATGAAAATACCCGGGAGCCTTCTGGGCATGAAACCAAGACACCCCAGAAAGGCTGCACACAGATTGACGTCAGTGGAAATGTGCCTTGCCATCCCTTCAGGGCCGGGTCTGGGAAGTGGAGGGCAGGGTAAGAAGTGGGAGTCCAGAGATCTTGTCTCCAGGGAAAAGAACATAAAAGAAGTTGCAGCGTGTTACTGAAAATCACAGAGATCACCCCCTCTCCGTCAAGGTCAAGTCAGAAAACCAGAACCTGCACCAGGAACTTGAGGCAGAGGGAATTTAATGTAGGGAACTCTTCTCAGAGGTGTTCCAAGAGGTGAACCCAGAAAAGTGAGAAAACCCAGAGATTAACCACTGCAAGAAGCCACTACTCTCCCCGGAGGCAGAGCTGGAGGGACTGTGGAGCAAGGTGGGGTTAGCAGAGCCTGCAGGGGTTGGACATGGAGGAGGCAAAGACGGGGAGAAATACCCCGTCTTCTGCCCTCTTTCAGCCTGTGTCTGCTATTGCTCAAACCTAACCAGAAGCTGATGAGCAAGGCATCCTGGGAAATGTAGTTTGGAAGGGTCAGTGCACTGTGGTTTGGAGCGAAAAAGGGCAGGAGGGAATCTGAGCCAACAGGCAAGTGACCAGTGCAATCCCCATGGCCACGTGTCCGGATGTCCCCAGCTTACACCTCTTGCCCTGGAGCCATTATGAATAGTGCCCCCTTTCCTCCCCAAAGTGTCTTGGTTGAGATGATAACTTATGTGATCAGTCCACCAGTGTAGAGAAACCGAGAGTCAGATACAGTTATATGGAGAAGGGAAGATAGGCAAGATTTAATATGGGAGGGAGGGAAGGATAAAGAAGGAAGAGAAGACCTGATTCATTTTTTTGTTAATAAAAAATAAATAACTGCAAGACAGAAGCAGGAAAGGAGGTAGAATAGCCAGCCCCCTTAGTAGATGCCCAGCATAGGTTGGTAAACGATCCAGTAACTAAATGTCTCCCCATGAGCCCCACTGTAGCCTCATCATCTGCCTGCAGGTAGACAAGAGAAGGGAGTGGAAGCCCAAATCCAAAGGCTGGGCTGGGGAAGGGTGAGAAGTTCTCAGGAGACTTCCAGAGGCCCCTGACACAGGGGCCTGTGACTACCCACGGCCAGCTGGTAGGCTGCCCCCTAGAGGCAGACAGCTGGACTGTAGGACCGACCTGAGGGCTGGAGAGGGAGCTGCAGAAAGGCCCGAGGTCCTTCTTGGGCCCCTGCAGATTGACAAGTCTGGAAAACTCCCCAGGAGGGAGTGGTGCTTTCTTTCCTTCTGGTGCACACCCCCTGCACACCCATGGACCAGGGGGAAGCCAGCGTGGAGATTTGGAGCACAGGATTTGAAATCATGCTGTCAAAGTTCGAATCTGCTTCTTCCTCACGGTGGGGGTCACTCGACCTCTCTGAGCCTCAGTTTCTTTATCTGTAAGATAGGGACCTAACAGTGCCTCCTTCATAGAGCTCTTGGGGGTTAGTATCAGATCACTGTACAAAGCACGCTCCATGGTATTTGGCATAGGACAGCGTGAGCTGCTGGGGTGGGTAATTAGCCTTCTTGAAACCTGCATTCTCCCTCCCTCCAAAGGCCCTAGCTGGGGTCCTTCCCTTCTCCAAGACTGTGTGGGGAGAGAAAAGTCCTGGCTCCCTCCCACCTGCTCAGAAACACAGGATGGGTGGCCTACTTTAGGTTTAGGGAACTAAGTAACATCTAAGGTGTTCTTGCCTCAGGCCGGTGTCGGGAAGGTGCTCCGGGTCACCTGGGACCAGGCAAGACTAAGGCAGCAATGAGGGAGGCTATCAAGGTCAAGAAATGAGCTGTGGAGCCCCTAGGGCTGCGGAGCTCAGCTCTGCTACCTGAGCCTCGGTTGCCCTGTCTGCAAAAACAGGCAATAGGGTGCTGTCCTAGAAGGTTTGAGAGCAAGGGGAGGTGGGAAGGAGCTAGACAAGGGTGTGGCCTCAGGTCAGATCCCAGGGGAGGGGAGCTCTGGAGTGGAAAATTGTACCCGAGTCACCCCCCTGAGATGTGAAGCTGGGCTTTTGTGTCCTGTATTAAGGCACTGGGAGGAGGCATAACCTCCCTGATGAGGAGGCTCCAACTGGCTGGGGTCATTTCTATGGAGAAGGGAGTCATTAGTGGCCAGCACTCATAGCAGCTGGTGGATGGGTGCCCGGCCCAGGATCTGGCTGGCTGGGGAAGCATCCGAAAAGCACTCATAACAGAACTGTGGCCACCACACAGTAGTCACAGGGAGGACTCTCTCTCTCCCCAGATGGCTGTTCCTCCCACAACACAGCCATGGCTGTGGCAGCCCTGGGGGGCTTCCTCTACGTCCTGGCTGAATACCCCCCAGCAAATGGAGAGCTGTGGCAGTCCACACTGGTGCCACCCACAGTCGCTGAGACAAATGTTTCCACACCTGCCACTGGAAGATGAAACGGATGCCAGATGCCATTAGTCAATCCTTCCTCCCTTAAATCCTGGGTGCCCGGGCCATGCCCTGACAAGGAGGCAGCAGAAGAAACGACTAGCATAGCAACCCAGCTTCATCCCCTCGGGGAGCAGGGCCAGGGAAGGGGATGTGGGGATGGATCCAGGTGTGGAAGCAGATGAATAAATTCAGAGTGCAATTGAGTCGTGTTTCTCAGCCCTGGGGACAACTTCTAGGGCTCTGTTTCAAGTCACGACACAAACTCCAAGGAGATCCATAACTTGAGTCTTAAAGGCAATTTCTTCAGATGTCAACGGTTCCATCTTTCCCAGTGGGAGAAATAAGGGTCTCTGAATGTAACAGTTCGAGTCATGACTAAACTTGAGATATGGTCACAAACGGCAGCACATAAAATGTTTACATCCACGCAAGGAACTCTACAGTACCATGTCGCGTCCTGTCATGGCCGTGTCATTTTACAAAAGGCAGGGTGGCATCATGGTTAATGGTGCAGCTCTGTGCCCAGGCTCCCTGAGTCCAAATCCCAGCTGTCCCGCTAATTAGCTCTGTGTCCTCGGGCAAGGTCATTTAGCGTCTCTGTGACTGTTTCCTCGTCAGTACAATTGGGATAATTACAGCACCTGCCTCAGGATTACTTGCAGTGCTGTGACCATCACCTTTGTAGGGTACTGAGAACCATTCCTATAACATGGTAAGAGCCAGGTGAGTGTTACCTGCTGCCACAGCAGGGAGGATGTCACATTACCTGGAGGGCTTGTCCCTGAGGCAGTGGGCATGGAGAGCTGACTGGCCAACTTTTCTCTTATTCCCAGCTTATACTTCTTCCCTCATGTTCTGCTTCAGTGTGAGTAAATCTGAACATGTCAGCTAGAGTTCTTTTAATTAATTTATCTGGTTTACTGAAGTACAGCTGACATACAATCCCCTGGAACTCTGACACTAATCTAGTGTTGGAGGAAAGACCTTCTGGAACGTTATCACGGGTCCAGGTACTGTCTGTGATGCAGATTTCAGGCTAGGACAGACACACGTCAAAAGGAGACTGGGGTAGAAAAATCAGCTAAAAACCCAGTCCTTTGGACTGGAAGGTTCTTTAAGTCCATCATCTTGCTTTGCTTCGAAGTGAAAAATAATTGCTCATCATCCCTATGTGACAACTGCGTTGTATTTGAGAATCTGAATTCAAACACCCGTGCTCCTTTTGTGCTCAGCTAAATAATCTGGTGGGGGCAGTGGTTCTTCTAAATCTTTCTCTTGGGAGTTAGTCTCTTCTGTCTAATCCTCTTTGCTGGTGCTCCTGAATGCTTTCCTGCAAGTGCTCTTAAGTTGTCAGGCACACAGAAATGGTCCTGGATTTCGCTGACAAGTTTGACTTGCTTTTGAGTTGCTAGTTTTCTTGAGGAACCAAGGGCCAGAATTTAATACCTACTTGGCACTCCATATGCTTCAAGGATTTCTTCCACACTGCGTCACAAACCAAAGTTTACCAAGATAGGCACACAGCCTAGAGATGGGTGGGCAGCACATAACCGGTTTAAGGGGGATTATGCCTCACCCCCCTGTCCTTCCTGCATTCAGGATGGATCAGTCACTGGAGCCCGACATTGATACATTTTTAGAAGGTTTAATTTACCAAACTAGGGCGGGGGTTGGGGGGAGGCGATGACTGTAGCAGAAATCTGGGTTTATAAGCCACTTTCAGGAAAAGGGAATCCTAATGCAAACTGGGACATGGGAAGGAAAATTTGCAAGATGAACCCCACTTGAATTGTCATGTCTTTGGGTTACAACTGCGATAGGGCACTAAGAAGAGGTAAAAATACCAATGGATGAGTCTCTTCACCACTCCCCCACCCCAGACCTTAGCCTCTCACTGAAGATGAATCCCATGAGCATTTAACATGATGTGGAGGTGGACCTTCACTTCTTGTATTCTAAACACCCAGTACTGGCTCACTTCCTAAAGGAGTTTCTCAATGTGTGGTCTGTGGCCACTGGCATTAGGACCAGCTTGAGGAATCTTGTTAAACATGCAGATTCTCGGGTGCCTGGGTGGCTCAGTCAGTTAAGTGTCTGCCTTCGGCTCAGGTCATGATCCCAGAGTTCCAGGATCCGGATAGTGTCCTGCATTAAGCTCCCTGCTCAGCGGGGAGTCCACTTCTCCCTCTGACCCTCCCCCCTCTCATGCTTTCTCTCTCTCTCTCAAATAAATAAATAAAATCTTTAAAAAACAAACAAACAAACATGCAGATTCTCTAGCCCTGCCCCTAGAGATTCTCATTCAGACCCCAGGAGGGGGCCTGGGGACATGTCTCCTTGGCAAGCTCCCAAGGGATGCTGATGCTCGCCAAGGCTGAGAACTGTGGGGTCCTCAAGGCCTGGACCTGTATGACATCAGGTGGTAGATAAAGGGAACATCTACAGTTGACACCGGGCAGTGGCCTCGATTGTGCATTCAGAGGTGTAAGTAATGTCCCTCCTCTACCCTGCAAGATTCTTTTGGCTGGTCTGGAAATTAAGTTGACATAAGACAAATTAAAGGAGAAAAACAAACAAACAAAAAAGTTTAATAATGTGCATACTGCCTGTCTACATGAGAGGCCCAGGAAAACTGAGTAACTCCCTGCAGTGGCCTAAGCCATCACCCTAAATACCATCTCCAGCTAAAGACGAGAGAAGATGTTGGGGGTGGGAGGTCAGTTATGGGAGGTTACTGGGGAAAGCACGGTAAACAAGAGTAGATTTAAGTCCATGCTGTCTCTATTGATAACAGTTTCTAGAGATTTAGAGTCAGCCATCTCCCTCTTTCTGGTAATGAGACGAAAACACACTTACAAAAGGGTAAATTCTGTTTTCAGAGCTTCCCTTGTGTCTGCAGTTTCTTAAAAATAACCAGCTTAAGATAATCAGTATGCCAAAGACTCATATCTTCGAGTGGCAAAATTTGCTCCCCTACACCCTCCTTGGTGCTCACACTCACCCCACTGTGACTTTAGGTGCTCCAGCAATGTTCCTGTCAAAAGTGTGTTCCCGATAGGCCCCTCGCTCAAGATAAAAATGTCCCCTGTAAAAGAGTATTTCTGTTAAATAAATCTTTGTGTTTTTAAAAGTACTTCCCTTTAAGATGTAAATACGTACAGGAAAAGTTGTGAGCTCAAACTTCAGAACAAGCTGCCTCCTCTACTAACATCTGTGTGACCCTGGGTCAGTAGCTTGCCCTCTCTGTACCTCCAACTTTTCTGTATAATGGGTAGCACAATAACATCCAACTTCTAGGATTCCTGAGATAAAATGGTGCAGGGTAAGCCCCGCACACAGTGTCTGAGGCTTAAATGAACTCAGTGGCTATTAGGAGTGAGTTTTCTCAGAAAAGCCAGCATCCACACCACCTCAGCCTCTGGGGTTTTATCAGTCACCTATTATTTACGAGCAAAGGATGTCATTCCCTTGCAAATCCTCCATCCATCCCTTCAATAAATAGTGACTGAGGACTTACTGTGTGCTAAGCTGTGCTCTGGGCATGGGAGATGCAGCTGAGAACAAACAAGGGCCCTGTTCCCATCATTTAAGAAATATCCGTGCAGTGCCTACTGTGTGCCGAGGACTATGCAAAGTATCAGGGGAAAGTAGTGAAAAGCAGACATGGTCTCTGTCCTCAGAGATGACAGTCAAGGCGGGAGAGACATTAAGCAGCAGCTAAAATCAGGGGGCGCCTGACTGCCTCAGTCGGTGGAGCATGGAACTCTAGATCTTGGGGTTGTGAGTTTGAGCCCCATGTTGTGTGTGGAGATTACTTAAAAATAAAATGAAATTTAAAAAAAGAAACAGGGGCGCCTGGGTGGCTCAGTTGGTTAAAGGACTGCCTTCGGCTCAGGTCATGATCCTGGAGTCCCGGGATCGAGTCCCGCATCGGGCTCCCTGCTCAGCGGGGTGTCTGCTTCTCCCTCTCCCGCTCCCCTCTCTTGTGCTCTCTCTCTCTCTCAAATAAATAAATAAAATCTTAAAAAAAAAAAAAAAAAGAAAGAAAGAAAGAGTTATAATCAAGCAGATTGCACCTGTGATGGGAAAGACTGGGTGCATGGCCTGGACATGGTATTCATTCCCTCAACCGACAAACTGACAGTGACGTCATTTTGGAATGTTCATGAGGTCTGGAGCCGACGGCCAAGAAAGAACTCTTGAGACGTCTTTGGTGCAAAAAGGTGGTTTTATTAAAGCACAGGGACAGGACCCGTGGGCAGAAAGAGGGGCTGCACCAGAGTTGTGAGGAATGGCTGATTATATACTTGGAAGTGGGGGAGGTAAGGACAAAGGGAGGTGTCCAAAAGCACTTTCATATGCTAAAGATTTACAGGACACTGGAGGCCTGACTATTCCTGAGTTAAAGTTGTTTTTCCTTCTAGTAAGGCGTTAACATGAAGATAGTTGGGGGCTTCCTGGAGAAATGCTATACTCTGCCTGCCTCAGGTCCTGGTCAATGGGCTGCAGCCATGTCCTGCAATGCTCTGGCCCCTGAGCTCCCACAGCTACCCCTTTTCCTATCCCTCATGTCTCAGCCTAAATGGGCTTAGAGAGGCCTTCCCTGCCACTCCCCTTCTTTCTCCATCCTGCTTCTTACCACACTTGGGTTATTTAGTGTCTGTCTCTGCAAGGGCAGGACTGGTCTGTCTGTTTCATCAGCATCTAGCACATAGGAGGAGCTCAATCTGTTCAATCTACAAATGACTGTGGAACCCAAATAAGGAAGCTGAGAGAAGACAAAGGCACCTAACGAAGGGTAAATGTGAGCAGAGGAGAAAGCACTGAGTTAGTTAGCTGGTATGGCTAGAACTGTGGGTTTGGGCTTAGAAAGATAAACCAAGGCATGTTAAAATTTTTAACTAAGAGTTTGAGCAAAAATCAATTCGAATTGGGCAGTACCAAATTGAAGTGGATATGAGCCAGGGGAAAGATCTCTACTGATAAAGTGAGAAAGTGAAGAAAGGAAATTGATTGCCTATAGCTTAATGCCTAGTTGGCTGTTAGTTAAAGCTGTTTGCAATTGGTCATCCTTAGCATTTTTTTTTTTAAAGATTTTATTTATTTCAGAGAGAAAGAATGAGAGCACATGAGAGGGGGGAGGGGCAGAGGGAGAAGCAGGCTCCCTGCCGAGCAGGGAGCCCGATGCGGAACTCGATCCCGGGACTCCAGGATCATGACCTGAGCCGAAGGCAGTCGCTTAACCAACTGAGCCACCCAGGCGCCCGGTCATCCTTAGCATTTTGATTTCATAACCTTGAGGCATTTACAGGCTTAGGTTTTGGTTTGCTTCTTTTTTTTTTTTAATTATTTAAATTCAATTTAGTTAACATATACTATATTAGTTTCAGGGGTAGAATTTAGTGATTCATCATTTGCATACAACACCCAATGCTCGTTACATCAAGTGCCCTCATTAGTGCACACCTTGGTTTGCTTCTGTAGGCAGTGTTAAAGAAAAAAAAAAAAAAGACGGGTGCCTGACCGGCTCAGTCAGAGAGCATGCAACTCTTTGATCTCAGGGTTCTGAGTTCAAGCCCCACATTGTGTGGAGAGATTAGTTTTTTTAAAAAAGTAAAAAAGAGAGACAACAGGCGCCAAATGAAGTAACATATGCCAAGCCCCATGTCAGCCAACCAAGACTTAATATCTGACTTAACTACAGTTTCAGACTCTTTCAGGAATGAAACCTTTAACCAGTCAGTTACCTAGTCAGCACTAGTGAAGTCATCTGCACCAAAGGCCCTTGTCCTTCCCTCAAAGGAAGGTGACCTTGCCTGAAACAATCCACTCTGTCTCACTCCCTTTCTGTCTATGAAAGCCTTTCATTTTGCACAGCTCTTTGGAGCTTCTTTCTATTTGCTAGATGGGATGCTGCCTAATTCGCTGAATAAAGTCAATTTAATCTTTAAATTTACTCAGTTGACTTTTGTCTTTTAATAGCAGCCATGGCATAAAGCCACATCAATCTAATGGCCTCCTTGTTTAATTAATAGGCTGCTCAGCAAATGGAGAATTTCCATGGGACTTAGGCACTTAGATATTATGTGCTTGTTACGTGTTTTGTCAAAGGAGTGACAAAGTTGGGAGGAAACCGAAGGTCAGAACTCTTTATAGAGACTGCCTGTACCTACATCTCCCAGTTGACGTAGAGAAAAAGAGGACTTCCGGGGACAGGGAAGCTGATCGCAGGTCTGGGCTTGTTTGCTAAAACTTTTTGCAGCCTGGATGTAAAGATTAGAAAGACATCATCCCTTCACATCAATATGATGAGGAAGCAAAAGGCAAGCTGAGGACAAAGCACAAGCTGAGATCCCACAACACCCTCCCCACCTCCTCCCTGGACTCCAGGTGGGAAAAGTGTGACCTTACTCCAGAAACTCCCAACTGTTAATGCTTTGCTACAGGGACAAACAACCTTAGCTTGACTAAGTCGCAAGGCCTCCAGTATCCTGAAAGTCTTCTTTAGCATATGAAAGTGCTTTTGGACACCTCCCTTAACCTCCCCCAACTCTCAAGTATATAATCAGCCATTCCTCACAACCCCAGGGCAGCAGCTCTTTCTGCCCTCAGGTCCTGTCCCCCTGCTTTAATAAAACCACCTTTTTGCACCAAAGATGTCTCAAGAATTCTTTCTTGGCCATCAGCTCCAGACCTCACCTACATTCAAAACTATATCAAAGGTCATAAGAGACCAAGGCTAAGAAACTGTTCCAGATTCAGGGACACCACAGAGACATGACAAGAAATGCAATTCCTGGATTGGACCCTGGATGTGGGGAAAATAGCTGTAAAGGACATTATACATGGGGCGCCTGGGTGGCTCAGTCGTTAAGCATCTGCCTTCGGCTCCGGTCGTGGTCCCAGGGTCCTGGGATCGAGCCCCGCATGGGACTCCCTGCTCTGTGGGAAGCCTGCTTCTCCCTCTCCCACTCACCCTGCTTGTGTTCCTTCTCTCGCTGTGTCTCTCTCTGTCAAATAAATAAATAAAATCTTAAAAAAAAAAAAAAGCTGTCTTTATAAAAAAAAAGGACATTATATAGAAAATTGGCAAATTTTCTGCGGATTAGTTAATAAACTCTATCAATGTAAAACGTCTTAATTTTACTTAGCCTGTGGTTATGTAGGAAGATGTCCTTGTTCGTAAAAGATATATAAAGTACTGAGGTGAAGGATCCCGATGTCTGCAACTTGGTTGCAAATGGTTGGTGGGTGGGGTGGAGTATGCGAATGAAGTTGAAATAATAAACTAAACGGAACAAAAGTTAATTAGTAAATATAGGTAAAAGGTATATGGGAGTTCTTTACATTACTCTTAGAACCTCCAGAACCTCCGGTAAGTTTGAAATTATATCAACACGAAACATTGCCCCCACCACCAACCCAGCTACACTCACCTTCTGAAGACAGTAAATTATAGGACAAGATCTCGCGATATCCAAAGGAGCCTAAGCAATTCTGTTCCGGTTGAAATCGGCCACCAAAAACCTTGAGTCACGTGGGGCAATCTCACGTGATCGGAGGCCTGGTTCCAACATGGCGGCCTCCATGGGTCGCTGGCTTCTCTTCCTCCTTGCGCTGCTTGGCTTCCTCCGGGAGGCGACCAGCGGCCTCGACTCGGGGTGAGTAAAGGTCTGGAGGGGTGAGCCTGGTTCGGGGAGTACTCCGCCCTGGACACAGCCCTCCGAGCTCACGGCCGCCCTGTCCCCGCAGGGCCTCCCGCGACGACGATTTGCTGCTGCCATACTCCCGCGCGCGCGCGCGCTCTGCCCGGGACTGCTCAAGGGTGCGCGCCGGCAGCCGCGAGCACGAGAGCTGGCCACCTACCACGGCGACCCCCGGCACCCGCGGCCCGGCGGTGCGCACCTTCGTTTCGCACTTCGCGGACCGCGCGGTGCCTGGCCATCTGACGCGTGTGGCAGAGCCCCTGCGGACCTTCTCGGTCCTGGAGCCCGGTGGGTCCGGCGGCTGCGCTTCGAGGCGCCGCGCCACCGTGGAGGATACGGCGCGGGGGGCCGGCTGCAGGGTTGCCCAGAACGGCGGCTTCTTCCGCATGGACACGGGCCAGTGCCTGGGGAACGTGGTGAGCGACGGGCGCCGGGTGAGCAGCGCCGGGGGGCTGCAGAACGCGCAGTTCGGGATCCGCCGCGACGGGACCCTGGTCACCGGGTGAGGAGGCAGGGAGCCTCGTGACTGTCGAGGGCAGAGGACCTGAGATTTGGGTTGTAGCCGTGGTGCTGGGTTCAAGTCACCTGACAAAGCTGAGCCTCCGTTTCCGTTCTGCAGAATGGGGATAGTAATACTTTCATTGCAGTTCATTTCCCAGTATCACTGAGCGCTTGCTTTGTGTCAAGCAATGTGCTGCGCATTAGGGATATAGCAGTGAACAAGCAGACAGCCTTTGTCTTCACGGAACCCCTCCCATTACTAGGAAAAATAAATAAAAGCCAGGGAAATGATTAAGATAAATTTAGATTGCATGCATGTAAAGAAGCAAGGAACAGGGATAACCAGTGTAAATGGAGTGTAGATTTTAGGTAGGGTGAATAGGAAAGGCCTGTCTCAGAAGGTGACCTCTGGGTTGAGACCTGATGATTAATCACAAGTTAGCCAAGGCCAGAACTGGAGGAAGAGCACTACGGTCAGAAGGAACAGCAAGTGCTAAGGCTCAGAGATGCACAGGGGTTTGGTGTGTGTGAGTGACTGAAGGAAGGAACAGAGTATCAGGGGATGACAGGACTGACTTTGGTTATTTAAAAACATGCTCTAGGGGCGCTTGGGTGGCTCAGTTGGTTAAGTGTCTGCCTTCAGGTCTGGTGGTGATCTCAGGGTCCTGGGATCGAGCCCCGAGTCAGGCTTCCTGCTCAGCAGGAGAGTCTGCTCCTCCCTCTCCCTCTGTCCCTGTTCGTGCTCTCTCTCTCGCTCTCACTGTCTTTCTCAAATAAATAAAGTCTTTTTTAAAAAATAAGAATAAAAACATGCTCTAATCCTGGCTGGAGGCTGGGTTGGAGGGACCAGAGTAGAAGCAAGGAGACCAATGACGAGTTGTCAGTAGGCATCAGGTGGTAGTTTGGCTAGAGTGATGGCCTAGGAAGTTGAAGGCCAGAGATGAACTTGAAATCTGTTGAGAATCGTTTATATTAGATGAATTATTAACTGTGATGCATAGACTGTTTACAAAGGCTGCACTCAGGACCAGGATGGTTCCTGGGACACCAGGAGGAGTCAAGCAGCCAACCTGAGGAGGGGAGGTAGGAGGGAACCCTACTACCTGCAGTTACCCCTGCCGGTGAGTGAATCTCATGCCTTTTCTGTGTCCAGGTACCTGTCTGAAGAGGAGGTGCTGGACACTGAAAATCCATTTGTGCAGCTGCTGAGTGGGGTCGTGTGGCTCATACGCAATGGAAGTGTGTACATCAATGAAAGCCAGGCGGCTGAGTGTGATGAGACACAGGAAACAGGTTTGGGGGCGGGGTGTGGCATAGTCTTGTTGAGAACCAGGACCTCTGGGCTGGTGGGGGAAGCTATTCTTAAGTCTTTGAGCAAGTACTATTCAAGGTACAGGGGATCGACAAATGAGGTCCCTGCTCTTGGGGAATACATAAGAAAGAAAATAGATATGTAATTTACTGAAAGGAAGTGGCAAGTGCTAAGAAAGAAAATAAAGTTGGGGGAAAATAAAGTTGGGTGGAAGAAAGGAGCTGTGAATCAGAATCCCGAATCCCTGGGGGTAAGGCCCAAACCTGTGTGTTTTAACAAATTCCTTGGGTAATTCAGTTTGAGAACCTCTGGGATGTGGAGTACTGGTATGGGAAGGGATGCTGTGGCCCTGATGTGGAAATGGCTGTTTTAGACCGAGCAGTCAAGGGAGGCCTCACTGAGGAGGTGCCCTAGATTGGAAAGAGCAAACCACAGGAAGAGCTGAGGAGAAGCACAGTCCAGCCAGAGGGAGCAGAAGGTGCAGAAGCCCTAAAGCAGAAAGTGGCTGCAGGGTGGTGAGAGAGGAGCCCCCACAGATGAGGTAGGAGAAGCAAGCCAGGGCGGCCATGTTGGGCTGATGAACCATGGAAGTCATCAGAGGGCTTTCCCCTGGAGGCTGATGTCACTTAATTTACACCTGAGAAGGGTCATCTGGCCGCTATGTGGAGACTGAGTGGGATGGGGCAGAGGGGAGGCAGGACAATACACGTCTAAGTGAGACACTGGATGGTGTGGAACGGGAGGTGGAGAGTGGCATTGGACTAGCCAAAAATAACCGGCAGAGCCCAGGAGTCTTCTCAAAGGGCAGGTAATCAGCCAGGCTTCTTCTCTTTTAGGTTCCTTTAGCAAATTTGTGAACGTGATGTCAGCAAGGACAGCTGTGGGACATGACCGGAAAGGGCAGCTGGTGCTCTTCCACGTAGACGGGCAGACGGAACAGCGGGGGTGAGTGCCAGGAACTGGGAAGGCCACGCCTGGGCTGAGCCCTGCTTTGAGGAACTTCAGCCCACTGACAGCTGGCCATCGGACTCCCAGCTCTTCCCTGGGGATGTTCACGTCCATCTGTCCCCTGCCTTCCCACGCAAAACAGTCCCTAGATCTGTCTCACTTCTTTTTTTTTTTTTTTT